CTTATACTTATACTTATACTTATACTTATACTTATACTTATACTTATACTTATACTTACACTTATACTTATACTCAAGCTACTTTTCAGTGTAGAGCAACTTTTTTGTTGTTGTATGTAGGTTCTGTCACAGATAAGCGACGATGGTTACTTCCTTAAATTCGAGCTCGTCGCATTGAACCCGATGCGAGCTGTTTTTACGTTGTATGGGTGTATCGAATATCTAGAGCTGTCAAAATTCTCACGGCTCTGCAGCTAGATGACTTTCAATTGAAAATCGTTTTCAATTTGATTTTCGGCGAAAAGTTCGCCAGCGAGCGAGCAGCGTGCCAACTTTGATTTGCCAATTCGCGTATAATCAGCATTAAATATTCCCCGTCATCAGATTGAGAGCCACGGGAATGGGTTCCATACCTTCTATGGAACCACTGCCAATGCAAACGAATGAAAATAAATGTCACACAGAGTTCAACGAACTTCAACAATAAATGGTGTTAAGTACTCAACAATTAAGTGGAAATTCCTCAATTTGGATGGAAGTTTGGAGTATTAATATATTGATTTTGAGAATAATTTTAATTTAATAAATTCGGTTTTCCGCACTAATTAGGGTTTCTCTTTTGGTATTTACCACTATTCGAATAGACTATAAAACGAAAATTTAATTGAAGTGAATGTATATAAATGTGTTTCTTTTTAGAAATATTTATACATTTATTTGCATTTTGAATAATTAAGCTAAAATTTGTAAGTATCAAACGAGAGAGTTTTATGTACATATTACCTGAATTTAGAAATGGAAAGATAATCAACAATTTGCTGTATCAAATTAAAACAGAATATTAACGTTATGTTAAATGCACGCTCCTTTCTGCGCCGCTTTCTACACAGTTCACTATTTGCCATAACGCCACCTTTTGTTCGATATTTGATTATGCGAAAACTCTATACTGCTTGCTATAAACTGCTTTCATGGCGTATGCATTGCTTGCTTGCACTGCTTGCAAGTATTGCTTGATAAACACATGATTCTAAGTATATTTTAATTGTTTTAAAAGGAATTTCAGATGAAAGCAAAAGTAGTCATCTATTTTATTATTCTTTTTTTTTTTGGCAGAAAGGAATCGTCTTTAAACATTTGAATTTACTGGTATCTTTGTTTATTAAGGGGTCTTTATTTTAAATAAAATGTGGTTATTACAAAAATATTGGCGTTGCACATCGCCAAATTAAAAGGACAGGACTTGAGTACTTTTCTTCTGAAGCCGAAAATTAATATGCAAGAAATATAACATATACAGACATATATAAAAACACACAGCTGTATTACTATTCAAACGTTAGTTAGGCATTTACAGACAAAACATTTATGAAACTAAATTAAGACACATTTTGATTAAAAATAGTAATATAAGTATTATAAATTAATATATAAAAATGAATATTGATTATTAATTAAAATACTATTTATTATATTCATCTAGAAGAATGAGCTCTAGAAGAAGAGAGATATAGATAGAGGGAGAGAGAGAGAGAGAGAGATTGTAATCTACATCGAATGCAGTTCAAATCTTTAATTTGAAGTCCGAATTTAATCCGATAACATTTTTAGATCTTTAAAAGTAAGCAGTTGAAGTTGCACCTAAAAATATTTAAAATAAAATAAAAATAAAAAAAAAAAATGTTAAAAACGAGATAATTTAAACTACGTAATAACTTTGGCATGCTGCGATCGATCGGATGCGTTTGGTAAAGAAGAAGGGGGCAGGCGTAGGGGAAGGGGAAACCGGGGAACTGATCCCTGGACGACCACATTGATTGAAATAGTTTATTTGCGGCTCCGATCTGGAGCTGGAGCTGAACCTGAAGCAATGGCTGAGGCTAAGGCTGAGGCTGAGGCTGAGGCTGAGGCTGGACGTGGAGCTGTCTGTCTGCTTGCAGGTCGAGGCAATTGTATTTGTTTTGCTTTTTGTGTTTGTCGTCGCATTTGTTTTGTATTTTTTTCATATTATTTGTGATGTTGGCAGCGCAGAGATAATGATGACGAGCTGCCAGCCAGAGAGCCCGAAGAGGCTGCTGCTCTGTGCCTTACCTGCAAACGCCATAGAGTGCCTACGACTGATTGG